AGTTTGATGAATAAGTCATGCGGACCAATCAAACTTAAGATTTTGCGGACAAATCCTACTCCAAACAGCGTATAAACTATACACTCATTACATTCGTTCTTGGTATAGAACCGCGTCACATTTCACTATGATCATTCTTCAATTGACTGGAGAATCGTCAATTAAACAAGTACAAAGATGTATTGCTTCATCATATAGCACCACAAAATATTAACTTTTCATATCGATAGATGAAACTTTTCAAATTTCATAAATATGTGCATGCTCTAAATCACTAACTAATTCTTCTAGTTCAATTATGAATGTGTCAAACATATTGTAAGAAAACATTCTAGTTGGTATTTCATCAGTTATCCGAGAAAAATTAATAAATACAACTTAAATTCTATTTAAATATGAATCTCAACTTCATAATTATATCATTTTACTTATTTACGCAAGTAATGCTAGCTAATTTATGCAAATAATAATCCTGACCACAAAACATTATTGTAGAAAATTTAATTTTTGAACATTTTTTCTAAGTTATTAATAAACATTTGCTATAGTAAAGCCTATATTTAAGAAGGACCCGAAATATATATAGATGGGTCAGGTATGAGTTTGCTTATTTTTGAGGTTTTTTATGCAGATCTTTTCTATTTATAGTAATTTTTTGCTTATTTTTGAAGTTTTTTTCTGCAGATCTTTCCTTTTTTAATAACCCTATAATTAATCTGACCTATCTATGTGTATTTCAGGGTTCTATTTAAGAACATAGGAAAATATACCTAACTTTAGAATTCATTTGCCATGTCTACTAGTTAGGCACAATAATAGATACTGTAATTTATTTTGCGATGTTAAATTTTAAGAATTGCTATGATCAAAAATTTTGACATGATTTGTCAACCAACTTGAAATATCTATTATAATAGTTTTTATTATAAATATCTGGCAGTACACTTGCGACTTCATTAAAATGTTAATATCTGTTCTCTTTAATAAGTAACTTTTCAATAGTGTTACTTAATTTAAACAGAGATGATAAACTGTTATATGTTTTTTGATAATACTATTATATGATTCTATTCATTAAGTAGATTGTATACTAGTATTAAATGATCTATGTGTAAAACAAAGCACCTATGCTTCTCAGCAAGAATAAAGTTATCTTTCTAAATATGATGCAGATTCTGAATACTTTTGTACTAAATCTACTTAACATTTTTCAAATATTGTTTCTATATAGCTATTTTGTATATAGCAAAATTCTTAAAAAAACCTCACTTTTCACCTTTGTACTTGCTTAGAAACCATTTTTCAAGATTTTTTTAAAAATGAAAAAGGCAAAAATGATGTTTTGTAGTTGATAATATTGCATTTATAGCAGCAACTATTACATATTTAGCATCCATATATAATACTTTTGGTACTAAACTATTCGTTGTCTCAAGCAAATTTTCAAAAATTTATGAAAATGTATCCATTGTCTCATCTAATATAATTGTAGTAGCTACTAGATGCGAACAGCTGTGATTATCAATAACTATTAAAAAACAAAGCATCATTGAATAGTGATTTGTTTTAAATGTTGTATCTATAAAAACTATGTTATAAAACCTGCCTCACAATTGAATTTGATTTGGTTTTATCTATATAAGAGCAACTAGATAATTATTTGTCCCTTCAAACTTTGCTTCAACATAGTAACTATAATCATTACGTTGCTTTTTAACCAATTCTAAGTATGTGCTGTCTGTATTACTTGTATCTACAACACAATTCTTACAATAGATTATCTGTATTATATTATATACATTATGAGTATGAATATATTTTTCAGGATATTTTTGTTGTAGAACCTCAATAATTGAACTGGCTTTAATACCACAAGATATAAGTAATCTAATATCATCTTTCATCTCCTTTATCAATCTCCTATATCTTGATTCAACCATAGTAATATTTTAGATCATCTTATGATTATATGTGCTAATGATATTTGAAATATGAATTTGGTTATCTTTTTTTATCAATATAAGTTTATATATAAGAAACAATCTCCTGATCTCTTTCATTAAGTATATATGCTTCTTTACATAAAACATATGTTTGTCTTTTTGTACATGTATAGACACGGCACTGAGGCTCTTTATCGAACTTATCAATTTCACTATAAGTTATACAAATGCGAAGCCTCTTTCTTGACCATGATATTTAAACTACCTATTAATATAATGATATAAATTAATTGCTTTTTTTTTTTGTTTCCTTATACAAAACTTACTTATTAACAGCTTTCTAAAATTCAAAGATCTGGTTTATAGCTAATAAATAGGTAAATTCATTATCTTCTTCATAATCTCTTTCTAGATCTAATTTATCATTATCAATCACAATTTTTTCATTAAGTTTTGTATTGTTATCTTCTTTATAGTCTACTTTTAAATCTGATTCATTATTATTAGTTACAATTTCTTCATTAATTTTGCATTGTAAATATTAGAGGTCTTATTATTATTCATATCAACGCTCATAAAGCTCTTATGACTATTAATACTGAAGAAAAGCAAGTCATTTATAATTCTATCAATATTAAAGAAAGGTAATTCACTTATGATTTTATCAACACCAAAAAAAACAAGTTATTCATAATTAACAATACAAAAAAAAAGTGATATCAAAGAAACAACTAAAAAAAGTTACAAAGAAAATGAAAAAATATTAATTTATAAAAACACATGACTCAAGAAGAAGATAAATTAAAAAAAAAACTACAGAAAAAAAATGGCAGAGAAAACAGCAATTCAGAAAGTAAAAGTTGTCCGAAAAGAAATCAAACCAGAAAAAAAAAAGCAAATTAGAAAGAAAAGCAAACCTAAAAAAAAAATTTGATCCAGGAAAAGGCTATACATGACAAAAAAAAGTGATATTGTAAGTGTCACAAAAGAGGTGACAAAGAAAAGACAATTCAAAAAATAATGCAATAAAATCAACACAAATAAAAAATTTAAAAAAAAGCAGAATGATGAAAATGACACACTGAAGAGTAAAAAGGCAAACAATAAAATACAAGGTATAATAAAACCACAAGGAAGATACAGGTAAGTGATACAAAAATCAACAAAATAAAACCAAAGTGAAAAAATCAAATAGTAAAAATACAAATCAAACGATATAATAAAGGTGATTCAAATTAAGAAAGTATAACAGTATAGCGATATTGCAAAAAAAATTTCAAAATCTCCTATAAAAAAGCAAATAAATATTAAACTTTTTATTATGCTGCATAACTATATAATTATATAATGATTAATTTACTAACAAATAAATAATTTGTATAACAATTGGTGTTAATCACTATAGACATATTTTATAATATTTATTATATAATTACTTGGTAAATATTTAGTATAAATATTCACTGAATATAAGGTGTATTGAAATTGATTTAATAAGCAATTGTAATAAGTATACCAGGAACGAATGTAATGAGTGTATAGTTTATACGCTGTTTGGAGTGGGATTTGTCTGCAAAATCTTAAGTTTGATTGGTCCGCATGACTTATTCATCAAACT